TAACCACACATTTTTTAATAAAATAATATTTTCCATCACATAAATAATTTTTTCTTCTTTTTCAACCACATATTTCCCATCATATCACTATTCAAAAATCAATTCTTCCCCCAAAAATTCCTACCAAAGATGCACTATATAACTACGAGATATTGGATGATGTCGGGATAAGTTAAAATAAGGGGAAATGAGGTGAAGGGTCTATTTAGCAAAATGTTTATTTATTGTAGAATTATTTTATAAGTAAGTTGTTTTAAGTCAATTTTATTTAAAAAACTCTTCTAGTTAGATTTTTAAAAAAATAATAATAATAATTTAGGCCCTATGTGATTGTAACGAATTCTATAAAAAAGTCACATTCGAGAAAAACGAATTCCACTTTGACCGTTTGATTGCAACGTGAAAATGAAAATCGAATTCCAATATACAAACAACCACTTTAAGTAGCATTTTCTTTGTTTTCATGGAAAACGAAATTCTATGAGTTATGTGAGTTTTTATTTTTTAACTAATATGGAATTAGAATTCTTTTCCACATTTGTCATCAAACGGACCCTTAGATAATTATTCAAATATATTCAGAAGCAATTTCTAGTTTTCAAAAGTTATGTCAAACAGGGTCGATGTCATTGTTTGTTTTATTTTGGAATGGAGATAATTTTTTGATAATTTTATCTATTTGATACGACGTTACACGAGTGTCACGTAGTCATTTAACATTCAAATGAAAATTTCGTTAACCAAAGATGCGTGCTTCAATTTTAAATGATTAAAGAAATGAGTACAATAAATAATAGATCGATAATAGATATTTTCTTGTTGTATTGTCCCGTATAAGCTACGTGGTCTATGTACCTATTTTCATGTTTTAGGTGAGAAAACAAATATTATCGGTCAAGTATGTAAAATCAGAGAGCAAGTAGCTTTCCTTGATGGTTGAATGATCATTCAAGGGTACTTTTTATATACCAATTTTAATCAAATATATTGAATATTGAGTGAGAGATTAAAGATCGGACATAAAAAATTGACTCGAACGTGACATATTTGACTGAAAAATCGTGCAACTTCAAGAAAAATTATGAATTTTGATTTTTTTTTTTTTGCCCTTTTCTGTGGGATAAGTATCTCTCTGTATACAAGTAGAAAAAAGTTCTAAAAATTGTGTCATTTATTAGAATCGTGTATTTTCAAGACAACTATTCGAAAGCTATAAATAGGCCCCCTACATTTGCAGAATCACTCTTATGAATTATGATCATACCGCTTTTCATATTTACGACACTTTTTTCCAAATTTATTATCATGGATATTTAAGTTCGGTTTTATAGGAGTACAAAACTCTCTCTCTCTCTCTCTCTCTCTCTCTCTCTCTCACTATTTCTCGAGATTTGAAGTTTTGTTATATCGCAAAGTGATGTTCAACCATGGGCACCTGTGTGTATGCGTGTGTGTGTTATATTAAGGAAAGAGAGCACAACTTTTGCTTCAATCAAACTCATTATCGATTTCTTTCTTCTACATTTCTGTCCAATTTTTAGTATAAATTTGCACTCATTTTAAACCTTCTAGATAGTTTATGATCTTTCTTAACTACGAGACTAATTCTTTACAAGTATTTCAATTAATCAATAGTAGTCTTCGAATGATTTCTATCTAATGTTCGAGTTATGATCGTGGACTTGAATAATAAAAATAAAAGGATTTTCTTTGATTTTTTATTGGTTAATCATTGATTATGTTGTAACTACTATTCGTGCTGAAGTGTTGATAACCACTATTCTAAGAAACAATATCATTTCATTATATATAAATAAGAATCTATGGTCTCCTTCTACGTCGTGAGTTCCATTGAAAATGAGCTTTTTGTTCCTTAACTTTCTATTTGCGATACCAATGCAATAGAATATAGAACAATTTGAGATGGTGTCTTCTTTTTTTCATGAAGTTTTCAGTTATACTTGTGTTCATTTAGGTAATTGAGAGAAATGATTTACGGTAAAGAAAACATTGCTTCTCATTGAGACGAAGCTCTAGATTTGAAGAAAAAAGGGAAAATGTAGTCGAATCGAGTCGAGTCGAGTCGAGTGATTGATAGTGCTTCTCCTGAGTTTGAAATATCACTAGCGTGTAAATTTATTAATAGAGATGGACCTACCGAAAGATTTGTTGAGATATGTACACCGGCACACGTCTCTATGCCATGCAATCTAATAGGTACAGCATTATACAGAGAAGAAGACACGTGCAATGGACAGCAATCTGGTGTTCAAAACAAGGCCACCGTGCCACCGTTTGAGTCCCATTATTTCGAGATTTTTTTTAAAAAAATTTATTTTCAATCACGCGTTCTTTCAAGAAAATAATTTTACATATAAATTCAAAATTTCTTCGTATTTTTTTAAACGCACATTCTTAAAAAAAAAAAAAAATCGCTATTACAAATTTTATTTTTTCAGCAAAATGGAACTCAAGCAAAGGCCAGGTAAATGTCTGTATGAATATTATGGGGGTGTTTGTTTTTTATTTGAAAATTGATTCTCAAATCAATTCTTATTTTCAACCACACATTCTTCAATAAAATAATATTTTCCATCACATCAATACTTTTTTCTTCTTTTTCAACCACACATTTCCCATCATATCACTATTCAAAATCAATTCTTCCCCCAAAATTTCAACCACACATTTTTTAATAAAATAATATTTTCCATCACATAAATAATTTTTTCTTCTTTTTCAACCACACATTTCTCATCATATCACTATTCAAAAATCAATTCTTCCCCTAAAAATCCCTACCCAAGATGCACTATATAACTACGAGATATTGGATGCTGTCGGGATAAGCTAAAATAAGGGGAAATGAGGTGAAGGGTCTATTTAGCAAAATGTTTATTTATTGTAGAATTATTTTATAAGTAAGTTGTTTTCAGTCAATTTTATTTAAAAAACTCTTCTAGTTCGATTTTTAAAAAAAATAAAATTTAGGCCCTATGTGATTTTAACGAATTCTATAAAAAAGTCACATTCGATAAAAACGAATTCCACTTTGACCGTTTGATTGCAACGTAAAAATGAAAATCGAATTCCAATGCACAAACAACCACTTTAAGTAGCATTTTATTTGTTTTCATGGAAAACGAAATTCTATGAGTTATGTGAGTTTTTATTTTTTAATTAATATGAAATTAGAATTCTTTTCCACATTTGTCATCAAACGGACCCTTAGATAATTATTCAAATATATTCAGAAGCAATTTCTAGTTTTCAAAAGTTATGTCAAACAGACTCGATGTCATTGTTTGGTTTATTTTGGAATGGAGATAAATTTATCTATTTGATACGACGTTACACGAGTGTCACGTAGTCATTTAACATTCAAATGAAAATTTCGTTAACCAAAGATGCGTGCTTCAATTTTAAATGATTAAAGAAATGAGTACAATAAATAATAGGTCGAGAATAGATATTTTCTTCTTGTATTGTCCCGTATAAGCTACGTGGTCTATGTACCTATTTTCATGTTTTAGGTGAGAAAACAACTATTATCGGTCAAGTATGTAAAATCAGAGAGCAAGTAGCTTTCCTTGATGGTTGAATGATCATTCAAGGGTTCTTTTTATATACCAATTTTAATCAAATATATTGAATATTGAGTGAGGGATTAAAGATTGGACATAAAAAATTGACTCGAACGTGACATATTTGACTGAAAAATCTTGCCACTTCAAGAAAAATTATGAATTTTGACCTTTTTTTTTTTGCCCTTTTCTGTGGGATAAGTATCTCTCTTTAAGTATACAAGTAGAAAAAAGTTCTAAAAATTGTGTCATTTATTAGAATCATGTATTTTCAAGACAACTATTCGAAGACTATAAATAGGCCCCCTACATTTGCGGAATCACTCTTATGAATTATGATCATACCGCTTTTCATATTTACAGCACTTTTTTCCAAATTTATTATCATGGATATGTAAGTTCGGTTTTATACTAGTACAAAACTCTCTCTCTCTCTCTCTTTCACTGTTTCTCGAGATTTGAAGTTTTGTTATATCGAAAAGTGATGTTCAACCATGGGCACCTCT